ATTGCGGTGATTCGCTGTGTTGAAGTCCCAGGAATTGCGTTCTGGCACGATTCTGGATCGTCAACACGCAACAGTCAGGTTGGTCCGTGGCGTTGGAATCCCGAGGACCATGTTTTGGCATGCTGCAGGGTCTTCAAGCTGTCGTGGTCCAACGAGGCAGTTCCCTCAATGGAAATGAACCGTTGTAGGGGCCTATGAAGAGGTAGCTTGGAGGGAGGGTGTATTCCAACATCGTTGATGCCTCTTGGGTTCACACTGGTCCTCCTCCTCCTCCTCCTTTTCCTCCTCCTCCTCCTCCTTATCTTCCTCCTCCTCCTCCTCCTCCTCCTCCTCCTCCTCCTCCTCCTCCCTCTCCTCCTTCTCACGTCCTGCTCCTCCCGTTCCTCCCGTTCCTCTTTCTTCTCATCATCCCCCTCCTCCTCCTGCCTGACGTTCCTCCTGCCCCCTGATCCCCGCATCCCCATAATCATCGTCATCACAATCCTCTCCTCCTTCCCCCGTTCTCCCCCCCCATCCTCCTGCTCACCCACCTCATCCTCCTCATCCCAAGTCTCCTCCACATCATCAGCGCCACCTGCATCGACATCACCACCACCATCACCATCCCCATCACCGTCGCCAATATCCTATCATCGGCATCAGCATATAACCATCACAACCATCACGTCACAACAACGATAACCAATGATCCGCAACCACAAAAGCGTCACCACCATCATTATCACCGTCAACATCATCCCAATTACCGTGGCTATCACAACCAACATCACCGCAACCATTACCACCACCACGACCATGGACACCACCAACATGAGCAGCATCGGAATCACCTGTATAAGCGGCATAATCATCCTAGTCGTCGTCATCATCATCATCATCATCAGAAGCATCCGCATTATCGTCATCATCATCACCATCAACATCGTCATCATCATCATCAACATCATCATCATCATAGTCAGCATCACCCGCATCATCATCATCACCAGCAGCAGCATCAAGATCATCATCTTCATTATCGCTATGATCATCATCACCATCATCATAATCAGCATCATCATCAGCATCATCATCAGCATCATCAGAAGCAGCAGCAGCAGCACCACCACCACATCCTTTCCCTGATCTTTCCCTCCTGATCTTAATCCCTCATCATCCTCCTCCTCGCATCATTATTCCTCGTTCCTCGTTACTTCCCCTCCCTCTCCCCAACCAGACCTCCTCTGTACAACCAGCTCCTATATTTCGCGCCACCAAGCGCGGCAACAGGCCGGTCCGGGCGTCTCGCTCGAGACTTCCGTGCTCTTTCCCACCCTGGCGCGAAAACGCGTGCAGCAGTCACAAGGCTGGGGGGCAGGCGGTTCTCAGCATGGGGCGCGGCGCGCACGCTCGTCTTCGGAGCCTGCCGCACATTCACGGATGCAGCGCGGGCGGCTTTCCAAGTGGAGCTCTCGCTCCAGCGCCGCGTGCTCTCGCCCGAAATTCACCTCGCATCGGGAGGCCAGAAGCTTGACACCGTGGACCAGCGTTAGGTCGGGCACGTCCCCCTACAGACGGATTTTGGACGACAACTTTTTTCAACAAAAAAGCACCCCCAATATATTCAAAAAATCAATCAATGCTCATGAATGGTCCCCAGACTATTTTCTACCTATTTGTGAAGATTCCTCCTGTAGAGGGGCAGGCCCGACTTAAGCGGCACGCGCGAGAAGCGGTTGCCTTTGACAGTGGAAAGCTCTCGTTCCATCCGCCGCTGTGCCTGCACGGAGCGGGCGTGTTAGAATGCGCTGTCCAGCCTGATGGGAGGAGGAGGAGGAGGAGGAGGATGACGACGACGAGGAGAGGGAGAATGAGGAGGAGGAGGAGGAGTTTGAAGGGACCCCCCTCCTCGCACGCGCCCCTTGAAGACCGCCCCTTTTGACATCTTTTGACATCGTGTTGCGGCGGTCCGTTCGGCCTCCAGGTGGCCAAGTTGACCTCCGAGACGGCTTCCAAGACAGCCTAGACGACAACAAGATGGCTCAAGATGGCCCAAGACAGCTCAAGATCCTCTCAAAGGAGTCTCAAGGCGGCTCAAGATAGCCCAAGAGGGCGTCAAGACGGCCCAAGAGGCCCCCAAGACGGCCCAAGAAAGCTCCAAGAAGCCTTCCTGGAGAGCCCGAGGGGGGCCAGAACCATTGACCTGCCTTGGGTGTTTGAAGGATGTTGAGGCTCTCGCCTGTTCCGGTTTCCGACCACCCAAGACGGCCACCGAGGCTTCCATGAGGGCTCCAAGATAGCTCCAAGACAGCCCGAAAGGGAGGAGGGCCCGAAGTCGGCCCGAGAGGATCCAAAGATCGCCCAAGGGGCTCCCAAAGAGGGCCCCAAGACGGCGGTGAAGCGCTCTAAGAGAGCAACAAGACTGCCCAGAGAGGCCTTCTGGGCTGCTTTGGGCGGTCGGAAACCTAAACATGCCATAACCTCAAAATCCTTCAAACACCTATGGAAAACCAACGGTGTTGGCCTCCCCAGGCTCTCCTGGAGGGCCTCTTGGAGACCTCTTGGGCCGCCCTGAGGGCCTCTTAATCTGTCTTGG